GTTATGTGTATGGCATTCAAAGTAGGGTTTATAATTGAAGTCAATAAACATGCATCATGTATAAAATGAGTTGAGAAATATAAGTCAACTGTATTGTCATTCCCTGTGGGTATGCTTGTGAAGACTGGATATTGGCCTTGTTTTTTTTTAAAGTAGAGATTTCACAAAACTAGAAGCAAGATGGGGCAGATTTAAGAAGTAAAATCCAACCTTCCCTTACGAAGAGTTCTGGAATAAAGCAGTTCATGAGTGGAATGTAGACAAGGAGGGCAAGTTTTACTTCCAAGTCTTAATCTCTTAATCAGAACCCGTGTCATTTCCTGAGGGCAGTAGCAAATAAGTCATGATTTTGGGCGGCAGAATTCAAGGCAGCAACCTCAAGGATATGCCCCACACACTTTATTTTTACCTTAAAATTTAGTGAAATTTTGTATTTCATTCTAATATAGGTCTCTAGTTTGATCCATGTGCAAAAAAATTTTTAAAAAACACATTGTACTTAAAGGAAAAACCCAAACCTAGTCCCCAAATCTTCAAGAAAAATTGGTTTTTCAAAAAGTTAATTGTGGTTCTGTCTATACCCCCACATACTATGTCCTATGCTTATGCTAAGAGTTCAAAAAATTGTTTTAGTTATTAAGGGTCTGGGTATTGACCTGAAGTTTTTTTAGTTCTGGGGTATATTAAATCTGTTACAGTTTCATTGAGCACTAGAAGCACAAGGACTGGGTGCTCTCTGTGTCCATTCAGTGTAAGTTCTGACATTGCTATCTGCAGGTGCCAGTCATTGAAATCCCAGGTTTTGGAAATCTTTCTGCTGTAACCCTTTGTGATGAGTTGAAAATTCAGAGCCAGAATGACCGAGAAAAACTTGCAGAAGCAAAGGACAAATTATATCTAAAAGGATTTTATGAAGGTGTAAGTGATAATTTTCTTATTTGTTTATTTTTGGTATTGGGGGTTGAATTACTGTTTGGTATACTGTATGCGCTGGGAGTTTCTTAACAAAAGAAAAATTCAGTATAGTTTCAGTAATACATTGATTTTATTATCATTATTCTTTTGGTACAGGGGATTGAACTCAGGACCTTGCACTTGCCAAGCAAGTGCTTAAGCCACTGAGCTATCTCCCCAGTCCCAATACATTAATTTGAGGGGTTAGCATGGCATTATATTCTAAAACATTTACAAATTTCTCTCTCCTTTTTTTTTTTTTTGGCATATCTTTTGTCTAAAAATATTTTTATTTTATTTTATTTTTTTTCCATAATTTTATTGAGAAACAAATAGCAATGAGACAGTTTCAAACCAAATTGGTAGGACAGTTTCAATAATTAACACATTGCATACATTCTTCCTAATGGTTAATTGCTATACAAGATGCGGACATGATATCCTATTTACAAACACTATTATTTACAAATCCCTCTATTCATTAAGAGAATGTAACTATATATCTATCCTAACCATTTTGAATACACAGATACAAAATGGACATTCATCTGTATCCCCTTTTTTTGTTTAATTCCGTTATTTGAATATTATAGGTGTGTTAACTCAGCAAAATATTCTTAAAGAGTCCAGTAGTCCATAATAGTATTGGGTCTTCCACTTCACTGGCAATGTCAGAAATTGTTGACCTGAGTCCCCTGCCTGCAGCTCAACATAACAGCATGGCTTTACATACTTTCCTGCTAGATGGTTAAGTCCAAGATAAAGCAAGACCTATGCAACAAGAGTTGTAGCTTTTGGGTCTGATAAGGTCAGTGAAATTGCCTCAAAGTTCAACATATCAATACTTGATGAAAAATACCTGTTCCATATTATGCCTAAGATGTTTGATATTCAGACAGGTAGTGAGGTTAAGCTTAACAGCCTAGGTTGTATGGTAATAAAAATAAGCTTGTCTTCTGGATGGTTGACAACCTAAGTTTACAGACCAAAATTAGAGAAAAAGGAGGGCTGCAAGGAAAGCCAACATTTTGGCCCTAGCCTTCCAAGGTCAATTAAGACTCAGGACATATGGGAACTTGTACTGTAACGTCATATAACTCGGTAGTGTCCCAAATTTTCTGATCAAGGAGATTATGGGGCCAAAGAGGAAAGTGATTGATGATGTAGAGTGTGCCTAAGGAGAGTCATATGGAGAGAAAACATTCTCTCAGGCTTTCATAAAAATATTTTTTCAGAAATTACTTTTTTTTTGTTCTGGGGTTTGATCCCCGGCATGATGTGCCAGCCCCATCCCTGGGGCATGCTAAGGTGGTGATTGAGACTGGGCATGGTGGAATGCACCTGTAATCCCAGCGCTGGGGCAGAGCTGAGATTTAAACCAGGCAGTTTAGCTCCAGGATTTATGATTTTTTTTTTTTTTTTTTTTTTTCCAAGCACTGGTGATCAGACATAGGGCCTTGCATTTGCTAGGCAAGCTAAGTTATGTTGCCAGTCCTTTTTTATTTCTTGTACCGGGAATTGAACTCAGGACTTTGCACTTACTTTTTAAGCAGGTGCTATACTGCTGAGCTATATTGCTGTCCCCTTTTTTATTTTTTGAGACAGAATCTCAGTAAGTTCCCCAGGTTTGCCTCAAACTTACTATCCCCCCACTTTAGCCTCACTCACCGTGGCTTATAGGTTTTGTGTTTTAAATACTGTCATGATCATTAAATGTAGCTTCTTAATAGTGGGTTAAATAGATAGTGAAGCATTTGATATGAGTGGTCAGAAAAGAATATATCTCTTCTAGTTAAAATTGAAACTATTTGAAAAAGACCATAGTTATAGGCCAGATATCCAAACTTTATTACTAAAAAAAGCTGTAAAGGCATTGTGACTTAGATACATGGCAATAATGGTTGAACTCATTCCTTGTCTTAGAATTAAATTGCGCATTGAGTAAAAGGTAAAGTTGAAAAATAATAAACCTGCAGCAGGCCTGTAGCAGCCAGGGTTGGAAGAAAGAAGCATATGTGGCACATGAGTTTAATTTCTTCTGCTAAAACATCAGAAATGAGGTGAGTTAGTATAGAAGATTTAATTGTTTTTGCTTACTACAAATCAGAAGGATTTATTCTTGATTTACAGCAATACTTTGGAGGAGTGTGGCCATGGCTTTGATAAAGAGCAAGTCCTGGACCTGGGCCTTGGCAGGGATGGGGAGCAGGGGGAGTGGGGGTCCAGGTAGGTTCCTAAGGTGAGCCCAGGCTTGGGCCCGCCAGGCAAGGATAAGGTAGGGGCCCTACTCCTCTTGGGCCCAGGTGATGCGGCGTGTGAATCAGCTGTGATCCTGGGTGAGCTGCTGTCCAGCACTGTGGTGAGCAACCTGATCAGGTCCAGCTGCATAGTCAGAAGATGCATGTTGATCTTCTCAGAGACGTGCACCTTTCTGTCTACCCCATTAATTGTCTAGGCCATACCCAAACAATTAGACCTATCACAAATTTAATTTTTTCTTTTAATCCTTTCAGATAATGTTGGTGGATGGATATAAAGGACAGAAAATCCAGACTGTGAAGAAGACTATCCAGAAAAGGATGATTGATGCTGTAGGTGCTGGGCCATCCTTTGAAGGCTATTTTGAAAGGACTGTTAAGTAAAGGACTTATTAACACTGTTCTTAGCAGTGAGTTCTATAGTAGAACCTTGGGCTGTCTTAAAGTTATATTTATGGAAGGGTGCAGACCTGCTTAGCAGTTCACAGAACTTGAACATCCTGCCTGTTTCATTGTTGAAGGTAGTGTTCTGAAGTGCATGTAGAGAACTTCAGTGATGCTTGTTGGTAGTGGTCACTGTAGGTAGGACACTGATGGTTACATTCTTCTCTTTTCTGTAGTACTTTATTGTTTTATTGTCATCCTTTCTGACCTCTCCATTTTTATTGTAGCTTTTATTTAGCTATTTAATTTTTTTTTAAATTTTATTTGTGTGTGTGTGTGTGTGTGTGTGTGTGTGTGTGTGTGTGTTCAGCTCAGCCCGCCAGGGGGCAGGGCTGGCCGGCATGTGGTGCTGGGGGATTGAACCGCAGTCCCTGTGCTTTCCCAAGCTTGTTCCAAGTAGATGCCTTAGACCACCGAGCCATCTCACCAGCCTCAGCTATTTAATTTTTAATAAGCCTATTAGTCTTATTTAAAAGAAGAAAGCAATGTTTCCTCTCCATCACATTGTCTTAAATATCTCTTACTTGGAGTCAGTTTCAATTATCTTTAGTATTGATTTCCATTTCTCTTCTGTTTTCTAAGTGCTTATAGTGTAAATTATTATTTTTTTTAATTTAAATGTTTTTTTGAGGCAGGGTCTCACTGTATAGTACAAGCTGGCCTTGAACTCACTTATGTAGCCCAAGTTGGCCTCAAACTCATGGTGATCCTCTTGCCTCAGCCTCCCGATTGCAGAGATTACAGGATGTACCACGATGCTGGGGTACAGTGTAAGTTTGGATTTGATTTTTTTTTTTTTTTCTTCAGGTTTAGACATCAACCACTATCTTCCTACTAAGAGAAGATAAAGATTTGATTCTTCCCACCCACCTTGATCTTCTCTAATTCACATACTTTTGTCTTTGATATGTCTTTTTGAGACAGGATCTGGTGAAGTAGTTCAGGATGGCCTTGAACTTACTTTGTAGCCCAGGCTGGCCTCAAACTCATCGGTCCTCCTGCCTCAGCCTCCCAGTTGCTGGGATTATAGGCATGTGCCACCATGCTTGGCTAATACATTTGTTTTTTTGTTTTATGTTTTAGGGAAGGGTCTACAGGGTGTTCATTGTCTTACTACTAGATCCGACTCTTAGTGAACCACCTGTTTACAGCCTCCCAAGAGCTGGAATTACAGGCCCAACCCACCAGGCCTGAGCAGTCTTAGTTGCTATCTCAGCGCTGCCCAGGGGCTGGGCTGGTGCAGCAGGCATGGGGATGGAACCCCCTGTCCCTGAACCTGCTTGCAGATGCTTTAATCCACTGAGCTATTTGGCCAGCCCGACATATTTGTATATGCTGTATCTCATTATATGCTGTCTTCCTAACATAGTTGTATTATAACTTACATTAATAGTCATTGTTTATATTTTTGAGATATGATTCAGTTTTACAGTACAAATTTTCTTTAGCTTTTGGTTTTCACTAGAGTTAATAGTAGTCTTTAAAAAAATTTATCTTAAAATACGCATATCAATATTTCTAAACTCTTTTTTGACTGTATATTTGTCTTCTTAGTCTCTTTAGACATACCAGTATGTTAATGGCCTCTTCTTAGAGAAAGCTTTCTTGTTTAGTTTGACCTGTTTGCCGGTCATGGGGGATGTTCTTCCACCATTACTGAGATTCCCTTTCTTAGTTGGATCCCTAGTTTCTTTGATTGTTTGGCTTTTTCCCTGTTTTTTCTTTCATTTTGGTGAAGCTCTGCTCTAGTACCTTTCCTGTGAAAGTTACCTGGAAGTTTTGTGTTTCTATGTCTAAAAATCTTTCCTTAGGGCCGGCCAAACAGTTTAGCAGATTAAAGTGCCTGCAAGCAGGCGCAGGCGCAGGTGCAGGGGCTGGGGCCTGCTGTGCCGGCCCCACCCCCAAGGCACACTGAAATGGCAATTGAGTCTGGGCGTGGTGGCATGTGCCTATAATCCAAGCTCTTTGGAGGCTGTAAACAGGGGGATCACTATGAGTCTGATCTAATAGTGAGACCCTGAACACCCTGTAGATCCTTCCCTAAAATACAAGCCCCCCAATTTTTCCTTTATATTCATATTTGATTACTCGGATGGAGGTTCTGTACTGGAAATCATTTTCCTTAAAGATTTGAGTGCATTACTTCATGTTCCTCCAGTTTACTGATGTTTTTAAGAAATAAGGGCTGCTGGGTGCAGCAGCTCATGCCTGTAATCCCAGCTGCTTGGGAGGTGGAGGTAATAGGGATCACAGGTTTAAGCCCAGACTGGGCAACTTAGCAGGGCCTTCTATTAAAATAAAAGTGTGGTGGTGCAGACCTTTAACCCAGCATTCTGGTGAGTGAGGCAAGAGGGTCACTATGTGTTCACAGCCAGACTGGGCTGCATAAAATTCAAGGTTAGAGCAAAACCCTGTCTCAAAGACAGCAAAAAAAGCACAAAATAGATTATTTATTTATTTTTGTTACTGGGAATCAAACTCAGGACCTTGTACTTGCCAGTTGGGCACTTTGCCACACAGCTCTATATATCTCCAGCCCTTGTGGATATATGCAATAAAGATTTGTGAGAAAGAGTGGAAATGTAGCTTAGTGGTAGAGTGTTTGCCTAGTGTGGGTGAGGCCCTAAATTTAATTCCCAGTACTAAAAAACAGAAAGAAGTTCAGCACTGCTTAGCTGTATTGGTGTGAGCCTGTATACTCTCAGGTACTTGGGAAATGTAGGCAGGAGGATCCAAAACTATTTTGGTAGTGACTGTTTTTTTTTTTTTTTTCCTTTCATTTTTTTGAGATGGACCTTGCTATATAGCCTTGGCTGACCTTGAACTCGAAGGGATCCTCTTGCCTCAGCTTGTCCCACCATGCTTGGCAGCAACTGATGTTTTTCCAAGTCAATTTTCTGTGTGAGTCAGTTGTCTCCCTATGCTGGAAGCTTGTAAAATCTTTTTTTTTTTTTTCTTCCTATATTCTGAAATTTCAAGATGATCTGCCTTGGTACAGGCACATTTTTATTTTGTTTGTAGGCTCCTCACAAAATTTGCATATGTCAATTTTGGAAATTTTTTTAAAAAAATGTTTTCCTAATGTTAATTTATTTCTTGTTATTTTTCCTTTCTGAATTCTTATTCAGAAAGAACACATAGTGACCCTCTTGCCTCACTCACCAGAATGCTGGGTTAAAGGTCTGCACTACCACATCAAGCTTTCATTTTTATTTTGATAGAAGGCCCTGCTGAGTTGCCCAGTCTGGGCTTAAACCTGTGATCTCTATTACCTCCACCTCCCAAGTCAGACATTGGACTTCTTAGACTCTGGATATGCTTTTACTCTTTTTTGGGAGAGTCTCTTAATTTTTCTTCTTGAGTTTTACATTTCTGAGAACTCATTAAAAAAAATCTCTTATTAAAAAAAAAAACAAAACTCTGGGAAACTTAGTTCTCTTTTCCATCTTGCAAGATGGTGGGTGAAAAAACTGAAAAGCCAGACGCTAAAGAGAAGAATCACGAAGCCAAGAAGGCTTCTGCCAGTGGTACTGGTAAAAAGGGTAAGGTGAAGGCAAAAAAGTCCAAGAACGGGGCAGCCCCACTGTGACTGAAATCCTGTCTTGGTTGGAAGACTTAGTAGATACTCCCGATCTGCTGTGTATTCCAGGAAGGATTTGTATAAGAGAAAGTACACAGCTGCTAAATCAAAGGTTGAGAAGAAAAAGGAGAAAGTTCTTGCTACGATCATGAAACTGGTTGGTAGGGACAAGAATGGAGGTACCCGGGTGGTTAAGCTTCGAAAAATGCCTGGATACTACCCTACTGAAAATGTGCCCTGAAAGCTGTTGAGCCACGCCAAGAAAACCCTTCAGTCAGCATGTGAAGAAACTTCGAGCTAGTCTCACTTCCGGCACCATCTTGATCATCCTTACCTGGTGTCACAGAGGCAAGAGAGTCGTCTTCCTGAAATAGTTGGACAGTGGCTTGCTACTTGTGACTGGGTGTCTTAGCCTTAATCATGTTTCTCTATGAAGAACGCACCAGAAATTTGTCATTACCACCTCTACAAAAGTTGATAGCAGCAAAATGAAAATCCCCAAACACTTCTTTGATGCTTACTTCAAGAAGAAGGTGCAGGAAACCCAGACACCAGGAGAGCAAGGTCTTTGACACTGAGAAAGAGAGATACCAGATTTCAGAGCAGTGCAAAGTGGATCAGAAAGCAGTGGACTCACAGATTTTAGCAAAAATCAAAGCTCTTCTTCAGCGCCGGGGCTACCTGCGATCTGTTTTTGTTCTGACAAATGGAATTTATCCTCATAAATTAGTGTTCTAAATTTCTTATTAAGAACATAATTAAATAACATATTTTAAAAAATCTTAAATTTTCAAGTGTACACAAGAGCAGGGTAGTCTGATGAATTCCTGCACGCGTGTCATGGCTTCAACAGTTACCAGTTTGGGGCCAGTTCAGGCGCTGTGTTCTTGGGGCTGTGGGTGCAGCTCAGCGGTAGCCGAGTTCAGTCTCTGGTACAAGAAAGAGTGGATTATTGTTTTTTGGGTCATATTATTTTTAAACAGGATGCTATTCTTGTTTTTTGAATATGAAATCTTATTTTTCTATCGAAGATTGTTGATATCTAAGCTATTGGGTACAAAAGGAATCTTTTTTTTTTTGTATGTGGGTGGGCATTGGGAAGCCCTCATATTAAGATTTTTGAGTTTGTAGATTCCCTACAGGATAGTCTCCTAGTTTTTTGCTTAAAGGGACTAAACTACTGATGATGGATCTATGGCACACTTGCTGCAGTGTGCTGTTCCTGTCCTTGAAAGCTCTGACAGGTTTATCATCAGTGCACTAACAGCATTGTGGGAGCGAATGAGAGATTGGTAGGGCTGAGGAACTGCATCTGGCATGGTGACTTTTTTTACTGTCATGCCCATATTCTTTCTCCCCTAGTTCAGAGAATTCTGCCTCCTTAGAGCATATACTTTCAGGGTCCTACTAGCAGAGGGTGGGGCAGGCACAGGTGTGCCTACGTAGAGTGGAGTTGGGAATTGGAGGTCTCTTTCCTTGAGAGACTTTCATTTCTCCTCTTTTAGCCTCATTTCATTTCTATTCTAGAGCTGTTTTATGCCTAAAGTTTCTGCATTTTTTGGAGGTTCTATAATACAAACTGGATTACTTTTCAGTATTCTCCACTGCTGGGTTAGGGTTTAGCAGTTTATTTCTGCTAGAACAGTTAGCATTCATCCTGCTCTTTGGCTACCAAAATTTGATATTGTTTTCTTCTTCCATTCTTTTTGCCTTTTTAGATTCAGATAACTTCAAATAACTTTGTTATCATTTATTGGAATTTTGAGGAATTAAATGTCTGTTTTTAAGCTACCATCTTTAAACCAAAAATCTGAGCTATTTAACTTCAATATGAATTGTGTCAAAAATATAGAATATGAGTTATTTTATGAATAGTGCTGAATTTTATTTACAAATAATCCTAACTCAAAATGCTTGGGCCTATAAAACATTAAGAGATGCTTATATTTTATTAAAAAAGTTTGTGGGCAGTTTTCTAGTGGGGAATTTTTTAATGCACTATAAATCTTTAGTATCAAGATCCTTGCTGTTTAATCTTTAAGTATTTTTTAAAGTAGTTCTGTGTATTTTATCTCCTGTTT